AAGAAATAATGGTAAACAGACTCATTCAATTTGTTTGGCAAAAACATTTTATTCACAAAATCTCCCTTTTCTCCATAACTCTCTGCTCAAATAACTCAGAAGGCTGGAAGCTGACATTTGAAATTTACACAGCTCAAAATCTGAATACTCACTAATGTCTTAGCTGTTCTACATATTCTACTACTGTCTAGCCACCGCCCCCGCCCCCCATCTTTGTTCTTAAATCACAATATGAATGAAGAGCTCAGAGGCTGGAAAAATCAAATCCCCATCATCTTTCCCCAGCCCCATGCCACATAATCTGTTACAAAATCCTACTTTAAAAATCATCCTCTTTTGGGGGAGGATGGTGCCATTCTCTTGAATGAAAGCAACTAGCACAGAAATGACTTGTGATTGCAAGCAACACACAAAGAACATTTTCATCACGTCGGGGAATAATTACTGCTGCTCCTGGTTCACGGAGTCTTCTTTACATCTCAAAAGCTATAAATAATCCAGTGTGCCAAAGAATCATTACAACGTTTACTTTAAAATGTATGAGTCTTATTTCTTCTAAATGGATACCAAGCTTTCCTCCCCGCCAACCCACCTATGGCTGGTACCCCTGCAGCTTGCTTTACTTGATTGAAATTGAGCGCATTTGGTAGAACGCTGAGTGATTTAAGTAGGTAAATCTCCATGTGATTCTGAGGAGACAAAAAGACAATGAGCTCAAGGCATCAGCTGATGCAAACCCACTATACCAGCTTTGGAGATGTAAGGGACACCCCAAGCAGCCTACTCCAAAAACTTTTAAGCATCTTTAATGGTACCCTGAGGGCCTCTGCTTGCGTTGAGCATGAAATGATGCAAGGTGCTAAATATGTAATGCTCTGCCCTCCTCCCACTGGCACTGGAGAGCAGAAAGCAGCATCTGCACAATTCCTGGTGTGCATCCTCCCTTCCTTCTCTGGCTTAGAATCTCAGGAATGTTGTCTTATTTGCTTTCTTGCTGACCTACTGATGAAGGGTGGGAACAGGTATCAAGAACCATTAGAAGCTTTCTCAGAAACTTGAGGGAGTAAGAGATCTTGGTGAGGATTTATTTATTCATGAGATGCAAGTCAGATCCTGGTCCCTCCCTTCTCTGAGGTGCCGACTGTAAGGAAGGCCCTAGAAAGAGCACATACAACTAGTGTCTCCCAGCCCAGCCTGGTACACACTACGTGTATGCTAATGCTTATTATTAATTTTACTATTTATACTCATTTCCAAAGGTCACACATCCATAATGGATTTTATCTATACTGACAGTTCTTTCACCCTAAGACTGAACTTTCATGCACATTTTTCAGAATAAAGCTATTGAGACGAAAATGCTCATAGTTCTAGCCAAAGAGAAACAAACTACAGCAAATGTAGGATCTTGATTTCCTATCTCCATGTTAGGGTGTCTTTCACTGTGCATTTATGGAGATGCTCAGATCTTTGCTACATTGGCTTATGTGCCAGCCCACCAGTAAGTGTGTCCCCCAGCCCAGAACGAATTTATTGGTTTACAATTACTCCTGACCTAATGCGACCCACCTCCTCTCACCATAGACATTTGACACTGTGAGTGAAGTCAGCTAGAAGTAGGGTAAAAAGAGCAAAAGATGAAAACTACTGCTTCCCAAATATAGACAAGAATGTGGTAGGATTGGTAGGATTCTCCACCCCACTTTGAGCTGTAACAGTATATAAACATTTGTACATTAACCCTTCTTGTTCTTACTCATCTACACATACATTCGCTCTGCCCGATATTTGTATCTGTATATAGACACAACCCTAGTATCAGTGCTTAAAACAATGTATAACAAAATACATGCTACACAGATATGTATATCCTATAAAAATCCACAAAAGACACCTAGAGGCCCCAAAGAATAGAGGCATAAATAGATACAAGGTTATAGGTGTCGCTCAGTAGAAAACTCTGCTAGTAACCAGAGGCTGCTGAAGAAATTGGAGGTAGGGGTTAGGATGTGAAAAAAAAAAAAATGCAGAAGGGAGGAAAGGTGCTCAGGGAATGACACAGGCTATAATAATCCTTATAAAACACCAGGTAATCTTCCCAGAAGAATGGAAGGGGTTTGGTGAGGTTGGCAGAGATCAACTCAGCTTCTGTGTTTTTCTTCACTGGACACAATGACCAAATTTCAGGGACCGGATTCATTTTGGGTAACTGTGCAGAAAGAAGGAAAAGACTATCCAGATTGTGTCCAAATACTTCAGAACTTGACAGAAACTTATTAAATGGATTAATGGTTTCAGCTGGATGAAAAAGAAAATAAAAGATCAAAAATAAATTCCTAATAAAAAATGAAAAAGCATTTATAATACAACAATGGAACTGTGGTAAAGGATAGGCAGACATTAAATGAAATAACTCAAATATCCCCAATTTTCTCCTTTTGCCTAATTTATGACCCTGGTCAAGCTATGAAGTGAGTTCACAGGTACATTTACACACACAAAACTTGTGTTTTCTGGCTAGTCATTTGCTATTTGATCTTTGCTTTAAGGGTAGAGTTTTGGATGCCTTAAAGATCAATCTCTCTTGTAAACAAACCATATCCTCTCTCTCTGGGGCACAAAATTGCACGGTCTTGATCCAGAGATAGAGGAGAGGCATTTAACAGACATTTCTTCTCCAGTTACAGATGAGGTGGATCCTCTATAAAATGGTTTATTTGCCCTTTTAACAGGGATTGAAATAAAATTCAACCAGGATTGAAAAAAACAGTTAACCAAGGGGAATAAACTGTTTTTAAAAAGCATTAATTAGGATCTGTTAGCTATATTTCCTTATATGCAACTACTGGAAAGAAAAACCAATTCCCAGGGCATTGTGTTCTTACATGCACTCATTTCATTGTATGAGTGCCCTAAGCTATCCATACCCATCCTCCTATGAATAAGACCAGCAGAAGTGTTTAGACACATACTCTGTAAGCCAGAACCTAAAACCTCAGGAACCCAGTTGAATGCTGTCTGTGTATATCAACACTGTTTCAATTACTAAAAATTGTAATATTTCCTATCCACATTAAAAAAAATGTGATACAATTTCATGTAAAGCTGTATAGTTATCCTGTCAAGACTCCAGACATGTAGCAATCAAACAGCCCCTGGGGCCAGGTTCTTTTATTATACAGTAAGAAAAGTAGCTTTTGTTCTTAAGAGGCTATTTAACACATGGTATTTATAGCACCACCAGTCTGAGAAACTCTACACAGTTCAAAGAAATTAAATAACTTTTGAGTCCATGAACAAATTCACACTTAATTCAGCATCTTTTAGTATAGACTCTCACTGGCACAGCACAGCTGTCAACGTCCAGAACAACAAATCGATCTGAAAACCCTGGGACTTAGGTGGAGAAACAGTATCCATACCGTATGTAACAAAAAACCCGAGGCAGCTTAACTGACCTCCCCCAAAGTGACCCAGGGTTTCTAGGACACTCATCTCAGACCCCATCAGAGAACAGCTCCTGATAGTGGAATAAACACATCATACCCTGGGTGAGCCCAGGAGATCTGGAGAGCCACCTCTCTCGATTTAAGAACACAATCTGTGCCCAGCACAGAAGGAGAGGCCTCTATGTGCAAAAAGAGAGAGGCTGCTAAGTCTGATGGACCCCAAATCACATATCTGATGAGATGCAGGTCGGGGCTGTTGAAGAAAGAGGAAATAAAACACTGACTTTCATGTTCTCCTCTCCACGCAAGTGATCACAAACTATACAAGAGCATACACACCCCTACACACACCACCCTAACGCTGTTCTTCTTTCTCAAAATTATCCCATGGGAGGAAAACTAGACCTTTGAAATGATTAGCAAAAGGGTGGGAGGCAGGTTTCTACATATAAAAAACACACTCACCCCCAAACCCAGCAAGAACATTGAGATGCCTTGTTTAAAAAAAGAAAAACCTTCTATTTCAGTTGTGGTTTGGCCTGATACACCACACCCACATGTACTGAATATATTGGTTTACCCATTAGCCTGACTGGTCGTAACTCTGAAAAGAGTTGCCAGGCAGAGATGAACCTCTCTGATCAAGGAGCGTTTCAAAGACTTAACCTCTCTCCCACATGGAACCCGCCCTGAGTGCCTGGCTGGGTGTAGAGGCGGGAGAGCCCGTGGCTCTCCGAGTGCCCTCTTGGCCAGTTTCTCCTGGGTCCTCCTGGCATCACCATCTAACCTTGAGGCTAAATGACTCAGACAACTGAGTGAAGACAGAGAGCAAAAGTCTCTCTTTTCCCAATTCACACAACTTTTAACACTGTGCCATAGAGAACTGCTGCAGTTTGTTCTAAGTACAGAAAGCAGAAGGTATGAAAGCACATGACTGTTGCATAGAGGGAAAAAAAAAGGAAAAACATGGAAAAGGATTCGCACCAGTCTTGCCCGTGTCACAGGGCACAAAGGGGCACCTGCTTCTTGCCCGACTCTCGGGATAAAGCCCAGCCCCACCATCCCCGGAGCCTCAGTTCTCTCGGCCATTCAGTTGTTCCTGGTGAGGGTGCCTGGAGCGTCAGACTTAAAAGTGCAGCTGAGCGTGGCAGGGTGACGGAGCAAGGGGACGAGGCCCCCGGAGGAGGATGGCTGTTATAGAAGAGAATCATCAGAACAGGGAGAATCTTGTCTGAGACCACGGATATAAAACGAGTAGCTCTGGGGACTCAGAATTCAGTAAGCCAGTACAGTGCTGAATATTTTGGTAAACAAAACAAATAACAAATGAACAGGGCTACCCGATAGCGGAGAACCGTTCTCTTTTCTACTTCAGGGTAGAGGGGCATCTACTCAGGGTCCACAAATGTGCGTCTGCAGAGCCATGAGAAATGAGAAGTCCCTCCCTCTGAGGATTCCCTGGTATACGGCGGGTAATTCAGCATTAACCAAGGTGAAATGGCGGCCAGGCCCCGGCCCATTAGCCTCTGATGTCTCTACTGCAGGCCGGCCTCAGTTCTTCTTCTCCTTCTGAGCCTGGCCTTTGGCGGCCCCCAGGTTGTTCCACACCTCTGTGTACATGAGGGTCCCAGTGAAGACAAACAAGGTGCCCAGCCAGTGCCACAGGGTGAAAGGGTTCTGGAAGTACAAAGATGGAGAAGATGAGGCTGACGAACTTGCGCAGCGTCACGACGAGGGTGACGGTGAGGGAGGCGCATTCTGTGGTGAGGATGAAGACGCCCCGGATGCACACGTACTGAGTGATGACATTCATGAGGAGGTAGAACCACATTATGGGCACTGTCACACCAATGACTGGAACCTGATACAATTCAGAATTATTGAACAGAACTGCATGGTCATAAATGTCAGAAGCCAAGAAGATGAAACCAGGAAGTGGAAGGGCATGATTATAAAACAAAGCCTCCTTGGAGTGTTTCCCAAATTGTTTGTACAGAGTCTCTTGGAAAATACCCATCCTTGCGGACATCAGAAGAGCGAAAGTCAGTGCCCCAATGCCTAGTAACCACCATGCAAACGCCTGGAATCCATCATTCTCAGTTGAGCTGCACTGAGAAGTCACCTGCTTTGCTGACATGAAAGTGCAAACAAATATCCCCACAGACACCAGGGCAATGGAGGTATATTTGAAGATACTGTATCTTTTTTTCAAAATGATAATTCCTAGAATCATGTTAGCAATTAGAGAACCAGATCTAAATATCATGTGCAGGGGCATGGCGATGTTAAGATTCAGGGCGTAGTTGTTCACCACGCTGACGGTGAAGAACATGGTCACCATTACGGCGTAGTACCTTATTGGGATAGCCGGATGCTTCCTTCCCAAATCAGCCTCAAAGAGGAAGCCTTCCACAGCGATAAATAAAAACTGCAAATGTCACAATGTTCCCACATCCTGGATGTTTCCGGGCCAGGAGCTCTAGGAAGATCACGTTACTGCAGCAGCCTGCGAAAACCAGGCCCACTGCGAAGTCCGGGCGCATGGCCAGGACAGGGGAAGGGGAGCGAGAGCGCAGAGGAAGCGCCCAACTAGACCACTACCCCAGGAAGCCCAGCTACCGCCTCGTCGTGGCACTGAACATCACCACCGTCCTGGAGCGCCGCTCTCCCGGGGTCGTGACGGTCTCCCTTTTCCCAGCGGCTGCCACCAACGCTGCCGGTCAAGGAGCTGTAGTTCGCTGTCAACCGGAGCCCCATTCATACGAGGGGGCGTCCGAGTCCAGGCTAGACTACACTGCCCAGAATGGCGCGCGCCCGTACGTCAGGCTGCGACGTACTCCACTTCTGCCGGGCAGCTCAATCGGAGAGAAAGGCCTATTTCATTCTTTTTTAATGGCTGAGTAATATCTTGTTGTATGTATATTCTACATCTTCTTTATCCATTCCTGTGTCAATGGACACTTAGGTTGCTTCCATGTCTTGGCTACTGAAAATAATGCTGCAAAGAACATTGCCAGTGCATGTATCTTTTCAAGTTAGAGTTTTCTCTGGATATATGCCTGGGAGTGGATTTGTAGGATTATATTGTAGCTCTATTTTTAGTTTTTTAAGGAACCTCCATACTGTTCTTCATAGTGACTGCACCAATTTATATTCCCTCAACAGTGTGGATGGATTCCCTTTTGTCTACACCCTCTCCAGCATTTATTATTTGCAGATTTTTTAATGATGGCATTTCTAAGTGAGATGATACATCACTGTAGTTTTAGTTTGCATTTCTAATAATTAGAAAAACTATGTTAAGCATCTTTTCATGTGCCTGTTGGCCATCTGTATGACCTGTGTACTTCTTTATAATATTTCTTATCAGTTTTGCTAGCAAATTGCTGAAATTATCTTACTTTTTCCTTTAATCTAAGAATGTATTTATTTTTGCCTTTATTTTTGAAAGATAGTTTTACTTGATGTGAGCTTCTTAGTTGAGGAATTTTTTGCTTTCAGCATTTTGAGTATGTCCTCCTACTATCTGGGCCTCCCTAGTGGTTCAGATGATAAAGAATCTGCCTGCAATTGAGAATATCAGGATTCAATTGCTGGGTTGGGAAGATCCCTGGAGAAAGAAATGGCAACCCACTCCAGTATTCTTGCCTGGGAAATCCTATGGACAGAGGAGCATGGCAGGCTACTCCCCTGGGTCGCAAAGGACATGACTGAACACTTTCACTTTCCTACTGCCTATCTGTCCTCTGTTGTTTCTGATGAGGTGTCAGCTATGTTATGTTGAAGTTCTCTTCTGGGTAATAAGTGAAGTGAAAGTCACTAAGTCATGTCTGACTCTTTGCAACTCCATGGACTAAACAGTCCATGAAATTCTCCAGGCCAGAATACCGTAGTGGGTAGCCATTCCCTTCTCCAGGGGATCTTCTCAACCCAAGAGTTGAACCCAGGTCTCCCACAGAATAGGCAGATTCTTTACTGTCTATATAATAAATTATTTTATTCTTACTGCTTACCAGTCTTTATCTCTAGATTTTAACATTTTATTGTGATGTGATTAAATGTAAATCTCTGTTTAGGATAAAGTAGGATACTTGGAGTTGATAGTGCTTCTTGGATGTGTAGAATATTTCATTTTGCTTTTTTCAAATTTGAGAAATTAAAAAAAATGGGGGGGCATTATTTCTTTGAGCATTTTTTTTGTTCTTTTTCTCCTGTTCTGATATTCTCATTATACATATGGTTAATTTTCTTAATGGTGTCCCAAATCTATCTGAGACCTCACTTTTTCTTTTTTCTTTACCTTTGTTATTCAGGATGTATAATCTCTATTGATCTACTTTTCAGTTTGATAACACTTCGTTTGGTCAGCTCATATTTACTGTTGATCCGCTCTAATGAGTTTTTCATTTTATCAAAATTTTTAACTCCAGAATTTTCATTTGATCTCTTTTATAATTTCTGTTTTTTTTTTCCCTGTATTTGGTGAGACATTGTTATCATTCCTTCAACTCCTTAGGTGTGGTTTCTTTTAATTTTGAAGATATTTATGATGACTGCTTTGAAGTTATCATCTGCTGAGTCTACCACCTGGGCCTCTTCAAGGCAATTTCTATTGTCTGCTTTTATTCCTGTGTATGGATGGCAGTTCCCTGTGTCTTTCCATGTCTTATAATTTTTGATTGAAAGCTAGACATTTGAAATAATATAATGTAGCAACTCTGAATACTGTACTCCACCCTATCCTCAGAGCCTTGATCTTGTTATTGCTTGTTTGGTCATTTGTTTAGCAACTTAGCTGAATTAAGTCTTTGCAGTTTACTTCCCTTCCCAGTGGTCAAAAAGTTCTCATATCCCTGCTTAATTTTTTAAAAAATCTTTTAGCCTGGATACCTAAGTATTGCTCCTACTTCAACATAAACCATTTATTTGTCAAAAATTGTGCTTAAGTCTACTTGACCAGTTAGATTTTTTCCTTTTACCATTGAATGTGTGTAGGTATGGAGGCTGCTATAAAGATTCAAGTTTATATTTTTCCCGCCACATTCAACAAGGAACTAGTACCTTGGATTTTTTCTAATTACTCTTGAAGGACATGGCCTTTTGCATGCATGCAGTCTTCCAGACATTCAAGGGTGGGAATGATTTTCCTAGGAGTTGCCTCTGGGTCTTCATAGATTATTGTTCATTCAGTATTTAATCAGAGGTTATGTTTATGCCACTAGTTCCTATGAGATTTTTGCCTGGGATCGGTTTTCACTGTGAACATTATATCAAGTTACTTAACGTTTTTAAGCCTCCTATATTTTTTGCTCTTGCTTTTCTAACATGTAAAATGAGAGCAATAACAATTATTTCAATCAAATATTGATATTAGGTAAAATAATTTATACAAGTGCCTTGTTGTTCAGTTGCTTAGCCATATTGGACTCTTTGCAACTCCATGGACTGCAACATACCAGGCTTCCCTGTCCTCCACTATCTTCCGATGTTTGCTCAAGTTCATGTCCATTATGTTGGTGATGCCATCCAACCATTTCATCCTCTGTCACCCTCTATTCAAGTGCCTGGTATACTGTTTTTTACAGAATAAAATAAAGGTTACAAATTATTTTTATTATTATTAGGTATTATCAATGCTAATATTAAGAATAATAAATCCTTTAGGTAGTAAATCATATAAATATCCCAACTCTATCAATTAGGATGCTTCGGTTCAAATAACAGAAAAATCAGCTCAAAAATTTCTTTCTTACAAGAAATCTAGAGGGAGGGGAATTTCAGGGTTGGTTGAGTTAATGGCCCAGAGGTGTCATCGGGAACCAGATTTATGCAGTCTTTTAGTTCTTCAGTCCTCAGAGTTTTCTTTGCTGTCTTAGGTTGATTCTTTTCAAGGCATAAGATGGCAATTACAGTTCCAAGTGTCACATGCAGGTTGCGATGTCCACAAGCTGAAAAGAAATTGAGTCTGTCTTTCATTCCATTTTAAGGACAAAAACAGCTCTTCCTAAGTTAAAAAGCTTCCCTTCAGCTCTCATAAACCAGAACTGTGGCACACACCCATTATTAATACATCACTGATAAAAGGGTTTGGGTTATCACCACAGGTTTATGAAATTAATGAAGATTTACCCATCTTCCCCAGCTGGTAGAGAGGATTAACATCTCTGAAAGCAGGTTGTATTCTAGTACCTGAATATAATTGAGTTTCTATGGGCAAGGGAGAAGAGGAGAAAGGATTTGAGTAGATAATTACATCTATTACATCTATGCTAGGGATGCGGGGACTTAGAGATCAATAAGATATTTTATCTTCAAGAAAATTATATTTATTAATATTATGAAAAAAATAGTATCATGACTATTTTGCCCATGATAACTGATACATCACCCTGTCAATGTCTTTAATGTCATGGGTTTAAAAGAAAATGAGACATTAACTAAACTTGTTGACTCTCAGATAAACTCATTTCATTTCCTTCATTCTGACCAAGACATTCTGTTTAGTCAGCATTGCAGATACAATTAATCAAGTTGGCTAAAAACAATAAAGGGAAATTTGAAAGCTATCCCTCAGTGATGGGAAAGTATCACTAATACCTAGAAAAGTTAGTTTATTTCATCTGTAAAGAAACTAATTCGTGTTGACTTGAAGACTCATCAGTTGCTATTCTAGACTGTTTTGACAAAATCACTCAAGGTATGTCTAGTGGCTCAGACCTTCCAAGTTTCTGCCCACAGAGTAACACATTCTGTCAGGTAGACATCTGAAAGTTTTGCAGAAAAGAATAATAGAGATTTAGTTCTGTTTTGAATGAACACCTAAGAAAGTCCATTCTTCACTATAGTTTGGGGGTAGAGAATACAGTTGAATGTGGTTTTAATTTTAGTGTCTTATACTTGGTAATGGGTTAGAGAGAGAAGTGCCAGTGTTTAGATTTATGAAGCATGTATTATTTGTCCAAAATTTATTTGTTTATTCATTCCACAAGTTACACAGCTAAGTAGCTAATATATGCTCTACATTTTGGTAGGAAATGATGAACCCCACAAAGTAAAAAAAACTTCAAGGACTTTAATACGAGCGTTATTGTTATAATACAAAGAAGCAAGTGATAAGACAGTTCCTGCTATAGAACTTATGCAGAAGGAAAACAATGTTTATTTTATTGCAACAAGAACAATATTTTATTGCAACAATAACACTTTTATTGCAAAAAGAGATGCAACAAAGAAAGGTAAAGACAGATATGAATGAACATAATAATGATATATGGCACATACACATAGATACATTCATCAATTATTTATTGGGTCTTTGCTACATATAAGACACTATGTTTAAAAGATACAAAGAAAAAGAAAACATTTCTGCATTCAGAAAATTTACAAGATCACAAGAAAGATAATCTGCATGCTTAGAGTACTAAAAACTAAGAAGGAAAAAATTAATAATTTTTAATAAAATAGCAAATGCACACATAGGGGTTATTATGTGCCAGGAGTTACCCTAAGCATTTTAAATACATTACTACTAACTCATTTAAACTTCACAGTCTGCACTATTCTTCTATATCTCAGAGGAGGAAACAGACACAGAAATAAATTGCCCAAGGTTGCAATTACATAGCTAGAAAGTGGGGGAATCGAGACTACAGGCCAGGCAATATGGCTCCAGAATCTGTGCTGTACATGGTGCTTCATAATTACATGCAGTAACTTCACAGACTTCATATATAGGACAGGACAAGGTATACAATTTGAAATTTTAAGGAAGATATGAAGAAAACACTTGAAGTCTCAAGATAAATGAGATATTGTCTCTAGTTCAAAGGA